AACGGTAATATGATCATTTGATTCCTGGGAGCATTGGCTCGAATTGTGATACGAATCTTGAAAGTATACGAAATGACTTGATTCTTTGGAGCGTTGGCTCAAAATAGTTAAGTGAATTAAAAGATAAGAAAAGTAAGAAAGAGAAAGCGTTGTTGATTCTTTCCCTTGCCGGGATGTTTGTCAAATATTTGCTTATGTTGTGCTCCTTAATTGTGACTGTGGTTTGGGGAGTCAGACCGCAACAATAATATGTGAGGATCGGGTTGCGCGCCGCAACAATGATATTGAGGATCGGGTTGCGCGCCGCAACAATGATATTGAGGATCGGGTTGCGCGCCTGCAATGAGATATCACTGACAGTGAAACCTGCTTTTATTTCCCTTATCCGTGTTAGAGTTAAATTATTGNGTGAGTAATGTGACACCAAATCTTGGGTAGAGGTTGTTTTTGACTATTCCGCGTTTTAAATTCATCATTTTAAGACAGACTTCCGCTATTGTTCTTATTAGACTTTATGTTCTATATTGATGTTATAAACTGTTAAAGATAATTGCTAGTGATGGAAAGGTAATTAAGTTGGCTTGCCTAGCTACCACGAGTAGGCGCCATCACGACTCCGATGGTGGGAAATCCGGGTCGTGACAAAATATTATTTATAAATTAAAAAATAAAAAATATTTAAACATATATAATGCTGGAATAACAAAATGATGAGAATAGTAAGAAAAATTAATTAGAATAATTCGTTAGTAATAATAATTTTAGATTAACAACAAAAATTAAAAAATTTATTTACACAATTCAGAATGAAAGAAAATAAAGGTATATTTCCATGCATGTAATATAAAAATAATTATTTAAATAAAGGTATTTTTATAATATACATTTTATATTCTTGAAAATTATGATCAATTATATTATTATATTTCTACCAACTTTCAGACGACACAAAATTGTGTCACCAGAAAGCAATGGGACTATCTGTATAGGTAAAATATGCTATGTTAAGTCGTGCATGGAATATATATGATATAATTGAGCATAATTTCTAAGAATATATAATGTATATTATAAAAATACCTTTATTTAAATAATTATTTTTATATTACATGCATGGAAATATACCTTTATTTTTATTCATTCTGAATTGTGTAAATAAATATTTGAATTTTTGTTTTTAATACTAAAATTATTATTACGAATGAATTGTTCTAATTAATTTTTTTATATGCTCATTATTTTGTTATTCCAGCATTATTGATGCTTAAATACTTTTATTTTTTATTTATATATAATATTTATTTATTTTATAGGTAAGTCCATATAATATAAATTAAAAGGGAAAAATCATATTATTAGAAAGTTTAAAAAAAATAAAAGAAGATAAGTGTTTATAATTTAGAGGGTAAAATAGGTATTTGGCAATCCAAAATTTGAAAAATCTAGTTGAGTGACCTTCTGAGTGCAATAAGCATGGTTCAGTGACTTTGTTATTACAAACGAAAGAAAAGTGACTTTAGGAGATAATTTGAGATAGTTGAGTGACCATTTGAGTAATTGACTCGTCTTCAATGCTACAGGTAAAGGTCGTAAACCTCGCATATGGGCAAAGTTACGTACTAAGCCAAGCTCCCATGCACACTCCACCATCTCCGTATTCTCGCAAAATCATTGGCTCTGATATCTATTGTTAGGATCGAAATAATCAGGTGTCATGCGCGGAAGCTAGTAAAGCAAATATTCAATGACAATAAATCAAACAACAAAAGAGACCTATAATAAAAATGACACAAACATTTAACGTGATTCGATCAATTGAAAGCATCTGCTAATGCTTGTATTAAGATAGACTATCTATATCACCTCTTTAGGGTATGGTCCTTATACGAAATACTTTGTGTACCAAACTACCGTTGTAGTTAAATAACAAGTGAAAACTAGACTTACAAGGCGAGTATCAAATTTTAAAATGATTGAGTAACTAACCTAAAGCATTCAATTTGCTCAACTAGCAACCGTTTTCCTTTTTCATTATTTATTAGGTGATAGTTTAGTTCGAATAATTAAATGGCTAGTTGTGTTTGTTTGTCTGTTTGTTCCATTTAGAGTGTCTGATATCTGGTCTGAATTATTTTCGTATACATTCATTTAGCTTAATTAGTACTTAGTACAATAAGAAATGAAATAATTAAATTATGCGGTATATATAGTAAAATAGCAGAGAGAATAGTTTAATAAGGAGGAAGCGGATATCCAAAATCTATACTATGAGGAAAAGCTGTCAGCGGATCTTTCTCTCTCAGGGCTTTCTTCAAAGCGGTGCTGGTTCCCGTCATCCCTTACTACGTGGAAAATTGTTTATGTCATCTCTCTCTCATTTCCAGAATCTCAGCAAAGTATAACCCGGGGCCGATTTCTCGGTTCGGTGAAAGTTTTTGTAGTGGCCCAAACTTTGATAAGGCTCCTAAATTTGAGTTCGTCTGATTTGGCCCACTTGTTACTAGGGCGGCTTATCCGGCGAATTGGGCGGTTATTTACTCTTAATGGTTTGGCTTGTCGGTTATCGGCTTTTAAATGTAGTAATCCGCTAGCCGCCCGATAAGATATTGGGCGGATTGATATTGGTTTAGCTCTTATCGGACGGTTATCGGGCGATTTATCGGTTTAGGTGGTCGACCTACTAAGAGGGACGAAGCAAAAGAGACACCGTGATGGTTAGATCATCTGTCTAGAATCTTATTTATGTTTATGCACATTGGCCTTAGTCCATGTGAAAGATTTCCAATTGGCCGTTGTTAAAACAAATGTTCGTCATACTTTGAATTCTAGGATGCCTTAAAACCCAGGCAAAATTGATGAAGCAGTGGTGTAACTGGTGTTGTTATCTTGTTTCAGACAGCATATTCTGTCTTTTCTCACAGTTAGATGACTCCTTTTATTTGGCTTTCTTTTATTCTAATTCACTTTGATAGAGTACTGGAGAAGAAGGGTTTTTGATTATTTAATATATACATGGATAAAAATAAAACTTATATATATATATATATATATATATATATATATATATATTCTTAACGGGTTAATGGATTATCCGTTAAGAAAATTGAATAATCCGCCTCCAAACCGATAAGCCGTTAATAAAAAAATTTCAATCCGTTCCCCACCCGTTAAACCGTTAACCCGATACCAATAAGCCATTAGGCTTCGGTTTCGGTTTCGATTTTCGATTTCGGTTCGATTTTGAATACCCCTACTTGTTACCGGACTTTTGACACGTTTTAAGCTTAAAATACAAGTCCAAATTTATGTGTTTATGAATGATGTAGGCAGTCTAGTTGGATGCACTAAATATTTATAATTGAATCCGTAATTTATAGGTCACACAGATAATTTTATGATTGCTCAAATACTCTCCTTCACGTTTTAAGCTTGAATGCATGCGATAAAATTCATCTTGCGCTAATGAGAAATTGGACAACCTAGTTGAAAAGGAAACGTCAGTTTAGAGAGACTGTGTCACTGCCGTGGCTCAAAGTGGTACTCCCTCCGGTCCAAAATAAGTGATTTTTTGACCTTTTTCTTGTGGTCCAAAATAAGTGATTTTTCCAGATTTCAAGAATGAATTAATTATTTTTTTCCTACATTGTCTTTGGAGTAAATAGTGTTGGAATATGTGTTAGGAGTATATATGTGAGATAGTAAAGGTTAATATGGTCAATTCAATTGCTAATTAATGCTAAAAGGTGAATTTCTTAATTTGTGTGAAAACATCCAAAAAATGACTTATTTTGGACCGGAGGGAGTAGCTTCGGCTTGTTTCCACGTTAGAGAAGAAAACCTTTCGGTTACTGTAGTAGTCAAGTTCCTCAAACCCCTCTTCCTTCCATCGTCTTTTTCTACATTAACCGGAGATTGAAGTAGAGAGAGATGCAACCAAACAAGTACAGCATGCAGACATATATACGTACACGTATACACACATGTATCATACGTTTTGGTCATTCCTTGTACTTAACGAGTTCTCCCACTGATGACAGATAGCTAGCTAGCTAGCTAAAGAGTGTTTGCCTATTCTCCTCACGCCTCCTATAAATGCCACTCCGTAACGGCAGTAGCGGTTACACAACTGGGATGCTCAGTAAAGTGAATGGCGATTCTACCGAGAAATGCAGGAGGCGACGCCGCCGCAGAATTCGAATGAGAAGTCTGCAGGCCAAGGTTTTATCCTCTGCTACTGCTAATTCTTCCTCGTCATTTTCGCCTAGGACCTTATCGTACAACACCTCAGAAGCTTTGGGCCAAGGTAGGGGAGTGGGAGTCAGCTTAGTAGATATGGCTGATCCTTCGTCAGCATCGACGGAGCCTTCTATCGCGGCTAGTCACACACCAGCCAGCGGGCCGGTCGTTGGAGTAATTTCTATAATAGGAAGACGGCGTGCAATGGAAGATAAATTTTCAATTCGACCTAATCTTTGCTCGCCGGAGATCAATCGCCGCCGACCCGTTAATTTCTTTGCTATTTACGACGGACATGGTGGACGTCATGTAAACTGTTTTCTCCGCCCATTTCTTATTATAATTCACTCATTTCTTTTTTAACCGTTTGATAATCTATAAAGTCAAATTTACCAATTTCAGCACTAAACTAAACTAATTATTTTTAATATTCCAGTTCTTCTATATAATATCATTTGAAAAATTCTGTAGCTTACTTTTTGAAAAACAAATTCAGAAATGTTAAAGTTGACTCTTGATTGAAAAACAAAATCAGAGTGACATACTCTACTTAATTATAATAGTTGGGATTTAGTTAGGGCTCTACAAAAAGTTCTCAATCTATATATACGGTATTAACAATCGCGTAAAGTAAGTTCTCAATATTAACGAAGTGAAGCGGATAGGGAATACTCATTACTTATTTAAGAATGTAAAATTAAAGATTGTTTTTTCAGTATTAGAGTAGCATATACAGCTTACAATAATTGGTGATGCAGGTAGCTGCAATGTGTAGCGAAAGGATGCACGTGCTACTACAAGAAGAGCTGACGCGCGTGGGGGAAAGTACAGACATGAGCGGTAGCAGCAGTTCCCATGGAAGTGGAACACAACAGCAGAGGACGGAGGAAGCCTGGAAAAGAGCGCTGAGGAGTTGTTTCCTGAGAATTGACGAGATGGCTTCAACCACATGCGGCGATTGTGGAACTGTTGGCCACCAATGCAACTGCCCACGCAACACCTTAGGTCTGACGGGCTCCACCGCCGTGGTTGCAGTTTTGACGGAAGAAACTATAATTGTAGCCAACTGTGGTGACTCACGCGCCGTCCTTAGCCGCGATGGAAAGCCCATCCCTCTTTCCTCTGATCATAAGGTACACGTCACCCCATAGGGTTGGGACCATGTTTTGACTCAAGTCAAAATTGTAAAAATAAACATGTTTCGTGTTGCCAAATCTTATTTGAAAGCAAACATCAAAATAGTGTAATTTTTGTTTTCTTGGAACAGACTACTTCATCGAAGCTTCTAAGATTCTATTTATTTCCGATAACTTATTCTAACGATATATTTAAAGAGCAAAGATTTCACCGTCTAATAGAGCTAGATTTCACGTCAACAGTTGTATTTTTGAGTGTTAAGATTCTTTTTGAACATTATAAATCCTCCTCTTTGAATTCAATATCAAAATGTCTGTTTCATAATTTTCTCCTCCAAGTACACATTCATATATGTGAATTCAAATATCAGTGCACATTTACATTGGATTTGTCTGTATGTGTTCAAAGATGCGGCAACTGATCATTTTGGGACTTTTAAGTACTCGTATGTCAAGCTAAGCAGAGAGAGAGCTATGTCTGTGATTTGAGGGATTCCGTTGAGTTGATAGTTGAGTGCAGATAGATTTGTAAATGATATGCTGTATGTAGTTTCTATTGTTTGAAGCTCTAAATTTTACTAAATGGGAATACTCAAATTTATGTCAACTCCACTACCTGAAGAAAATGATTTAATTTGTCCTCATGAAAAGTTAAACTTATTTGGCTGCAGCCGGATAGACGCGATGAACGAGCCAGAATAGAAGCGTCTGGAGGCCTAGTTGTTTTTGCAAATGGGGCACGGGTTCAAGGAATTCTTGCCATGTCTAGGGCAATAGGTAATATTTCTAGAAAACCCTTTTTCTGATAATGAAAGATCCTGTTTTTTCTATGCAAATAAATCATTACAATGCTCATGTGAAATATTACTTATATCCACATGACGAAAGCTTACTCCCGCCTTGGTGGACTCCTACTTAAGAAAATAGGCATCGGAACTGCTGCTTCATTTGTTTTTCACCTTACACGCATTATCACTTTATTAACAGCATCACATTAATTTCTAGGATTGGTAAATTCTTCCTTTTTCAGGCAACAATATTTGCATCTCCATAGGTCTAAGCCTTAACTAGTTTCCAAACAAAAACATAAAAGGCACACATCATGTATCATGCATGAATAACACATTGGCGAGAGACAAAGATTGTTGTCAAGGTAATAGCATAGCATAATGATGTTAAAGCACAATTATGGCAGTTGGAAATGCCACTATCGCCGTAGCTTCTTGTGGAAGAAATGGAATAGTTCTAGAGAACAAAGGATATAGGGACTATCATCCATTGAGGGGTTGTATCTGTTTATTAAGGCATAGAAATGAGACCAATTAGAGTTAACATTTAGGGTCTTATTACAGAATTCTGCATGAAGTGCATGAAGAAAAACTGTTTGTCCGTATTTAATGCCACGATAAGACGACAAAGTGGAAACAAAATTGAGTAGTTGTAGATGATGTGCATATTGTCAAAGTGTTGTTTGTCCGTATAATTAATGCCACGCATAAGACGACAAATTAGAAATAAAATTTAGCAAATTGGTTGTACGTCATAGAAGTTGTCGTTTGCGCATCAAAGTAGATGGGCGGCTTTCCATTAGGGTTAGAGAAGGTCAAAATGTTGTTTGTCCGTATATTTAATGCCATGCATAAGACGACAAATTAGAAATAAAATTGAGCAAATTGGTTGTACGTCATAGAAGTTGTCGTTTGCGCATCAAAGTAGATGGACGGCATCCATTAGGGTTAGAGAAGGTCAAACTGGGTGCGATTAATGATAGTTCAAGGAAAGCAATTTATGTTGCTGGAAATGGATTGATACAACACATTATTTAGTACTTGTTAATGCTGAATCATTGACAGAACCGTTTTACTAGAGGGACTACCATTGATGTCAAACATAATTTTTTAGTCTACTCTCCAACGCATGTCCATCCTAGTTAGGATAGTTGTCATATGTAAAACTGCAGCAACCATACCAGGGAAACTTGTAATGAACAAAAGTCGTTTTAAAAAACGAAGCACTGTCTCTGGTGCAAATCCTATCGTATTGATTTTCCCTTTTGCTAAGACAAGTTATCCTTTCCACCTGTGCTCATTTCAAGGTTAGTTATCCTACTACATTCATTGTCTATTTCAGAAGAAGTATGCTCATAGTAGTAGTCATGATTTTAAGAAAATGGTGGTTTCTTTATTTCTGGAAACCATTTAATTTTGCTAGACGATCTGGTGACATAAGATATTGTTCATAGGCTTTTAAATACCTAAGGCTTTTGTATCCCATATGTATGATGATGGAGCACAAATATATTGCGGTCTTCAGTTTTTTTAAAAAAAATAATATTTTATTGTTCAATTGTTTACGACAATATTTGCATAAAGCCTGTTTTACATGTGTTGTTTTCTGTTATGTGATAGTGTAAAAGAAACTATTATACTCGATTAAATTGTATCTGTTTGGGGATACTAATATTCGAATAGTTTACTTCTAAATGAAAAGGCATGGTTTACATTTCATAATGCACTTCCTGTCATGAAATAATTTTTTAGCTTAATGTCTTAAGTCACAAGTTGGTGAATGCACAATAACCTGATTTACATAAGAAGCTGCACTACTATATTTCTAGAGGTATGTAGGATTTGTGAGCTTGTCCAGATGTCTAGATTGGTTGTCAAGTTTAACATGTTAAACTGCTACATGAATTAACCATTCATGCGTTTGTGAAGATCTCTGCCGTTAGTAATGTGACCTATGTAGTACAGTAGGTCAAGCCTTTACTTATGATGGGTTGCTATGCCTTCATGTTTTCCCCTATGTAATTTAGTATTATCACACTGCAAGCAAAGGTTTCTAAATGTGTTACTTGTGCAATCACAATTGGTCCCCCTCTCTCTCTAAATATATTACTTGTCTAGTAGGTGGTTACCATAGACCTTTGTGACTTTGATGGTATTCAACTAGGTAGTTTTTTCTTTGCCAAAAGGTAATTGGATTAAGCTAGGTGATTTTGCTGTTGCTGATCATTAAGAACTGTACTTGGTGGTTTTTGCTACTTTTGATTATGAAGAAGACTGTACTTTATCCACTATTTTTGTAGGGGAAATTTACTTTTCTTAGACTGATCCTAGCATAGAGACTCAAATACTAGTAAATATTTCTATTATTTTTCTTATTACACACAGGAGACAAGTATCTATCGCCATATGTAATATCCGAGCCTGAGATTACCTTCACAAAAAGGGAAGCAGAGGATGAGTGCTTGATTCTTGCCAGTGATGGTTTGTGGGATGTTATATCAAACGACATGGCGTGTGAGGTGGCTAGTGAGTGTCTTCGAGAGGAAGATCCAGCTGAGGACCATAGCTTCAGTCCTTTGGTAGAAGGTGATAGCGGAGGAGCTATATATTCTTCCCGAAGTTCATCAGCAGCTGCGCTGCTTACTCAGCTAGCTATAGGACGGAATAGCTGTGATAACATTAGCGTGATTGTGGTAGATCTAAAGAGAAGTCATACTGGAGGATAGTTTCAGGAAAAGGTAACTTATTGAAGTGAACCATATTGGATAGCTTGTATACAACCAAAGAGAAGTTTGGAGATGGTTTTATCGACCATAGCACAAGGTTTTTAACTTAATCCGTGTATTTAAAGATAGTGATCAGTACTTGAATTTATTTAATTTGGTTTCTGTCTTCAATTGCCATTAGCAAGTGATCTTCTAGGTTTATCTCTTCCCTTGACTGTGGTTGCTTACTTGTATTCAATTTACCGGGAGGAATTATTTAAGAATAAATTTGGGAGGTAATTCAAGCAAATTGAACTTTTATTAGCTTTACAACCATATGTTTTTTGACTTTATCCAAGAAACTAATAAATCCTAAGTGCCTATAACATGGTCGTTCACTTTATTTCAGGTATACCATCTAGTGGAGAATGATATATATAGTACTTCAGTGTGCTTTATTTTTCAAATCTTATTAATTTTACTACAAGTGAAATTCTCCCATTCATTGTTTTACTACTGTATATATGAAGGTACTTAAGTTTTAGTTTTTTTTTCTTTTCTTTTATGTGTCAAAGTTTTTTTACCCGTTAATTTTAGTACCATATTTTGTTCAGTTGGTGGAAGAAATAGTTGTTTAAATTAATGGACTTGTCATATAGAATACTTTTTGTTTGGCAAAAACATCATATTGTACAACTGCTTTAAGACTTTGACAAATTCGAATTTTTAAATCATCAAAACGTTTTAAATATTTTACTGTTTATAATCCAATCTCATAAGACTTTGAAAAAACAAATCATTTGCATTAACTTGAGTTAGAACAGAACTTTCACACTGGCTACAACTTTGGGACATTTTATGATATTCAGGCTAAGAAGAAGAGATGGTGGCTCGAATTGCCCCAAAATGGTCTATCACCCACAACGACAATCTAGGTATTACTGATGGTACCTGCAGTAACTTAAGACACTCTCCTTTGTAAAGATGCTTAATATATAATATTAGGAGTAGCTCGTTGTTATAATAATAATAATAATAATAATAATAATAGTGATAATAATATTAATAATAATAAGTAAACAAAAAGTGTAGAGTTGTTTTATCATTTTTTGATCTAAAACTTAATGGAATACTCTTTTATCCAAAAAAGAAAATGTCATTTTCCAAATCGACTCCCTGTTTTCTTTTTAAGTGTTTACTAATATACGTATCTGCGCAATGCACGATTGGTTGATACGCGTAATCATGAATATACATGTTTATTAAATCATTTCAAAATTCACCTTGTTGTAATATGACATTGTAAAATGTACACGAGAGAGTGCTAGCGTATTTGGAACCTCGACATATTATAAAAGTTAATAATTATGCAAAACAAACCAATATATAAGCTTAGTTCATTGCCTAATTTCGTTAATCATAACTTTAGCATTATTTCAATATTTTCTTTATTATTTTATAAATTAATCAAGATCATAAATATCTTCACACTATCCCTATCATCCTTTTGTATGCATTTGTTTACTATATAATATTTTTAGTTAACTTTTTAGTGTTTTATCTTTCATTAAAATAATGACTTTGAACTACTTATATTTTGCTTTCGAAGTGATATATTGAAATTTAGTTTCAATTATTGATGTTATTTATCTACATATAAATTTAAATTATATTTGTTTTTATTCAGTATCTATTAAAATTTTAGTTAGATGACCTTATTTGTAAAATATATTTCTGGACTACAATTTTTTATTTGTATACTTTTTCTTTTTCTTGTTCCATATATTTTGTGCTTGCATTTTTTAATACTTACCGTGTGATTGTTTATTAGTTTTTCACTTATGTCCTTGCCTATCACTCCTCTTTTAATATAATAAAAATAATATTTTGTATTCTTAAATTTAAACTTTTTTAATACTCTTAATTTATTACTCAAAATTGCTTCATTATTTAAATTTATAAATAAAATATTATTTCAAACGCTATAAATAAGATAGACCTAAGAATATTGGTGGCATCTCAACCTAATAATTTAACATCTTCTAGCAGGACTTTACTTGCTTGAACTTTTTGTAACTTATAAATAGAGATTTGATCTACTATTATTTTTATAAATTATATCGATATTATAAAATATTATATTAAAATCATATACAACATGAAATAAAGCTTTCCTTCAAACATGCCAATAATAAACTCTCCTGATCTTACAAAATAATTGGTGATGTAAAACAATAAGAGAAGAAGAAGAGTATTGCAGAGAAAAGTAGAATGAAAGAATTTTTATTGATTTGGGATGATTTACAATAGAATAGAACCCCTCTATTTATAGGAAAAAAGTGACTTAGCCACCAAGTAACAAACCCTAAAATCTCTCTAAAATATTGACATTCACCTTAAATATAATACTAATTTTAACACTCACCCTTGAATGTCTATTCAACAGATAATGTGCCTCGTTAAAACCTTAACTAAAATAAAACCCAGTGAAAAAAATTCTAGTGAAGGGATAAGCCTTGTTAAAAACCTTGCAAGGAAAACCTAGTGAGACAAAACCTTGTAAGGAAAAAAGATTATAACGCGTATTAGCTCCCCCTGATGAGAGCATCAATTCACATCCTCAAGCCTTCGCATCCCAATCTTGTGCACTAGTCTCTTTAAGGTTGACGTTGGTAGAGGTTTTGTGAACAAATCAGCCATATTATCACTTGAACGAATCTGTTGCACATTGATATCGCCATTCTTTTGAATATCATGTATGAAAAATCACTTTGGTGAAATTTGCTTTGTCCTATATCCTTTTATGAATCCTCCCTTCAATTGGGCTATGCATGCTGCATTGTCTTCATACAAAATCGTGGGTAGTTTGTCACACTTCAAACCATATTTTTCTCGAATAAGAAATATTATAGACCTCAACCACAAATATTCTCGACTTGCTTCGTGAATAACAATTATCTCAGCATGGTTAGATGAAGTAGCCACGATTGATTGCTTAGTGGATCGCCAAGATATGATAGTGCCTCCACATGTAAACGCATAGCCTGTTTGAGATCGAGCCTTGTGTAATCGGATAAATACCCAGCATCAACATAACCAACAAGATCGGGACTGCAACCATTGCCATAAATAAGCCCATGTCGGTAGTTCTTTTTAGATACTGCAATATGGGTTTGACTCCATTCCAAGGTCTCCTTATAGGAGTAAAGCTATATCTTGCTAAGACATTACCTGAATGTCAGGCCTTGTAGTATTAGTGTAACGACCCGACCGGTCGTTTTGAGCATTTGCACTTCGCTCGATAGTTTACGGGCATGAGTAGCTTCCTATGATGTATTATGGCTTGTGTGAATCGTCGGTTTTGGTTTTTAGGTTATTCGGAATTGATTAGGAGAATGATTCTCAACTAGGAAGCTTTAGATTGGAAGAGTTGACCAAGTTTGACTTTTTAGTATTTGACCTCGAAATGGAGTTTCGTTAGTTCCGTTAGCTCCGTTGGGTAATTTTGGACATATGAGCACGTACGAATTGTGATTTGGAGGTCCGTAGTTGAATTTGACTTGAAATGGCGAAGGTTGATTGTTGATACCCAATTTTTCATATTTCTAAAAAATATATATATACCTTCAAAATAGTATATTTTCATCATCATCTAGTTTATGAACCTATACAAATATTTTTTTTTATAATTTTTCATAATTTTTAAAGGCTTTAGATTAAATTTTTTTTTGCATTTTTATTGTATAAATATTCAATAATTATCCTTCAAATTATTTTTATGATGATTTAATCATCCAAACCCATCATTTACAACAACATGCATATTTTTAAATATTTTATTTCATTTCTCATAATTCATGTATAATCACATTATTTATGCAAAAACTATTTTCTATATTTTTATAATGTTAAGTTACTCCCTCCGTTCCTGTTTATGTGAACCTATTTCATTTTTGGTTCGTTCAAAAAAGAATGACCCCTTTCTAAATTTGGAAACAATTTAGCTTAAACTTCAAATTCTATCCTTAATGAGAAGCTTTTATAACCACACAAATATTATGGACCCTTTTTTGACTTGTTTAGGACCACAAATTCAAAAAGTCTTCCTTTTTTCTTAAAATCCGTGCCAAATCAAATATGTTCACATAAATTGGAACGGAGGGAGTACTATTTTTAATTATTTTAGTGCACAAATAATATTTTTCTATTTATTAATTATTTTTATAAATTATTTCTTGCTAAATATTAGGTATCTAAACACCAGCCTAAATTCTTACTCAATTTCGGACCTAACAACCCAGCCCAATTACCCCATACATTAACCCAATTACCCAGGCCCAAAACAAACCCCCCTTTATTTCAACCCAACCGGTAACCCATTTACACGAGCCGCCCCACTCCCGTTTTAAAATCCTGGCCGTTGATCTAAGATCAATGGCCCACAATTAACCTACCCCTTTCAATTACCCCCTTTCACCCAAAACCATAACCCATTTACCCCTTTACCCGCCGCCCTTGAATCCTCTCAAACTGCCCTCTCTCTCTCTATCAAATCCTAGCGCCGTAACCCCTAATCCTCTCCGATTCCGGCTCAAACATGGAATCAATCCAAGAGTTGCTTACCTATTTTGTGATACTTTATCGTTATATGCATAATTTTGGCGTCACTTAGTTATTGCCCTATTGTTGGCAAGAACTACCTCTCAAGAACGGGCCGATTCACTTTGATTCTATGAAGATCTGGACGATCTTCCGTCTCTATACATGTTATACTGAACGGTCCTTGTATTTTTTGGTCCGATTCAAGGCGTCAGTCTCAAGTAGGGTTTGAGATTTTTCCCTTATTCTTTACTGATTTCTGGTTGATACTCTTCCCTTTCTTGTGTTTGACTGATATTTTCCTTATTTTGCTTAACCCGTTGTATTTTCCCTATTTTCGATTTTACTTACCTTAAAACGACTCTAATTGATTTTCATATGCTATTTCCCTTATTCTCTGTTGAACTTGTTGTATTTCCTTATTTTGAGTACTACTTGTTTCTCGCATGTCACTTTTTATCCCTTGTTTAAATCATTGAACTTCCTTATTCTATGTGTTAAATGCCCTGAAACTGATTCTGATTGATTCTTGTGTATCTTTCCCCATTTGCGTTTGAATAATTTGTTTCCATGTTACCTGTTTGATTTCTACTATATAAACCCCTCTCAGAAGAGATTCTGGGACCCCAGACTTTGACTACTGTTTTTCACTACTCTCTCATTCACTC